ATAATACACGGTGACGAGTATCGTTTCGTGTTTGATACGGTGATCAAACTTTTGAGGACGCCATCGAATCGCTGCGCACTCGAATCGGCCGCCGATTGCACGTCGCGATCTGTTGCTAGAGCGTACACCACGTGTGCACTATACTCTGCATCGGTCGAATAATAATAATTATTATCACCGTTCGATCGCGCGAGTTCTGAATTCAGTGGCGGACGCGGGAAAAAATTTCTGGAGGGGGGGGGTTTGAAAGAATAAGAATAATTACCATTATTTTGAAATAATTATTTATTGTGTGATGAAATAACCATTAAGTTTTAAATGAATCATCCATTCATTTCGGGGGGTTGAACCGCCCCCCCCAGGTCCGCCACGCGTTCCGATCGTCCGAGTGGACGTGTGAACGATACGGTGAAACCCGCGCACGGCGCACATCGTAGTTATTCGTGTGTTGTTATGCGATCCCGTTTGGTGTGAGGACCGATTTCTGACCGCGACGACATCGCAGTCGTCCGATTTCCACCCGACGTGCGATGTGTGCGCCTCGCGAGGACAGCGACGACGACGACGACGACGTGAAACCGTTGAATTTTTTATGTCAAACGACCTTTTCGTCGTATATACACTTGAGCCACACCGCGCACATTATACGCATGTACATATAAGTATACGAACACGTACACGTGTATATACTTATTAGTCATTACTCGCCTATTAGTACACTATATATCTGTTATACTATATATATATATATATATACCCATAGCCTACACACGTACATATACGTGCACATATGTTTTTATAACCTGCCCACACGTGGTCGGGCTGGTATTGCATGAAAAAAATACGAACACGGAGGCACGCGTTTCCGACGGTGTCTTCTCTCGTCACACGTTTCCTCAAATCCGCACTACGTGCGCGGCGAAATTTAATATTGTACGCAGTGGTGGTAAGCAGTCCTTCGAAACGCAATTGCGGTGTTCCTATATCCTCGCAGGTCCTTCGGATACGGAGGTCCTTCCCGGTAGTTCTGCCGAAGCGTCGTACATGTCGCAATAATAGCATAAAGTGTGTGTTTGTGTGTGTGTGTGTGTGTGTGTGTGTGTGTGTGTGTGTGTGTGTGTGTGTGTGTGTGTGTGTGTGTGTGNGTGTGTGTGTGTGTGTGCGTGTGTGTGTGATGATTCCGTGGTCGCTTGAACCTGCAGCAGGCGAGACGTCTCGGCAAATAATTAGTCAAGACACGTTCATAATTTCATATGGTTTTGGAAATTGTTTAACATTTCAGTTTCTGTTCGTTCTCGGGATTCGAGGAAAGCAAATCGAAAAGCGCCTCGAATTTCTTGAAATATTGCCGGCAGGTTATATAGCTACAAAAGTGTGCCCTCCCCCTCCGCGTATTATGCTCTCAGCCCTACCACGCATTTTTCGGGAACCATAAAAAACGAAATAATTTTGTCACACGTCGAAATCGATTTATTCGTATTTGTATATAGCTTGTGACAAGACGTAAAAATAAATAATATTATAATACGATGACTTTCATGTGTCAATATTATACAGTAAGAAACTAAGAAACGTACTCGTCGCGTCGGTCTGTATAAAAAATAATGTCACGAATCCTGTTTAAATTCTAAAAAAACGTTTTCCTTGTACAAATGTTTTAATAAAAAAATTAGAATTTTTAAATATTATAGTTTCAATCAAATTTATGACATTTTCAATGCGATTAGCCGACTCAATACTTCTACATATATATTAATTTCCATATTACCTATATTTATTTGTAATAATAGTCTGAGTATAACAATTAAACTTGCTATAGGTATACCTATAGTAAATATTTCAGCCATTTTATGTTTTATGGTAAAACCGTCATCAAAGAGTATTATTCTTAAAACATAAAAAAAACTACTCAAATTTCGATTTAGATGCATTGATATTTTCAAAAAAATCAACTCGTTAACAATAACGTTCAAGATGGTATACCTATAATAGAGGTTTGTAAAAGTAATAGTTAGAGTCTCCACGGCCCACGGCCCACCGGATACTCCCCTTAAATGGCCTACGAAATCCAAGTACCTGTATATTTGAAAACATTCCGAAAATCCGAAATTAAATAATCGCAAATGATAAAATGATGGGAGGGTTGGGGGAGGGGGTGCCCTATGAATCGCCGCGGTCGTAATTATAGTATCATATTATACTTGCGTTCAAAAGTAGACCTTATTATGGATTATGCACAATACGCGTCTAAACTCGTCGATCGATCTCCGTCGATTTCTCATCCACTCGGCTCCGAACAATCGCATCATTTTGCCGAAAAACATAATATTTATCAACGTATATCGTTTATAATAGCCTATAGCGTTTTTATATTATATTATTGTATATATACTCGCAAATAATATGGCCTAGTCGTCTTATCCCATTTACATCCTTTTGGATCTCGTTTCGGATCACATCGAAGTCGGCGAATCCATCTCATGTGCTGCACGCGCGCCTCAAACGGAATAATAATATATTGTTATATTATTGAAAATGATCCCCGCTCCTCCCACTAGCTCTCTCTCTCTCTCTCTCGATACATAAATTACGCTTTGTGAGCTGTGCGTATAAGACTTTTTCGCTTCCGCGGAATTGTGGAAACGATTTGGCGAATTTTGGCCCACGAAAACGTTCAAAGGCAGCTGACGTTCATTACACGCCGATTTAAATAACATTTATTTCGAATTCTTTCGGAAAGCGTTCGCGTGTTTTACGACGCGCAATAACCACTTGTTTTCGAGGCCCCGAGACTATTCGATACGTGTTAAAGTTTTTGTATACAGATATAATATACTGTGTGCGCACAATATGTATAAACAGCTAGTACAATGCGCATTATAATATTCTACGCAGTGGCGATTACACGAAATGGATGACAACTCATAATGGATAGTGTGATTTGTGTTTTTATACTATTTTTTCCCCCACCAAACTATTATATTTACAATGTATAATGTTATACGAACAGTACGACATGTACAAACGTTAAAAAAAAACGTTACAGTAAAAACATTCGGTACCTCAACTAAGATCACGAC